TCAATTTCAGGATCGTATTTGACTAGTTCTCTAGAAGAGGAACGGGTCATACACTTTCTGAAATTTCTGTAAAAAAGTTGAAATGATTAGACAAAAAAATCTCAAATTAGTAGTAAAATAATTAATCTGTAATAGACTTTAGCCAATCCCCGGCAACGGCGCCAAAAATTTGACGAGTGTCTAGCGTATATAAAATTTTAACTCGTACTCTGTCAAATAATAGTATAGAAAGATGTTGAACCCACAGAGATTGGTTTATCTATTCTACCGATGTTTCTTGTTTTAGTTACTATTTGAGAAAATCAGAAAGAGTTGAGTTTTAAATTAACTAACTAAAAAAACACGAATGGAGCAATAGAAAATATTTTATTTTTCACAGATATAATAAAAAGGTGTTGGGATCCTGACTTCACTTAACATTTTTTATTATATAGTAAATACATTATTCTTCAACTTCTATTTCTCATAAATGTATAAATGCCTCTCACGATTACATTTATATATTATTACTATAGTTGAACAATTAAGTGAACTCCTCTCGGTTATACAATTTAATTGTCAAAATGGTAATATTAAAGAACCAGAAATATATACTTGAACTAAAGCATGCTTTTTTTTAGTAAGTCCCTTTCGGTTACCCTACTTGTTATAACTGATTTACTACAATATTCGCCTCTTTCGATTACAAATAAGTGTAGAATCAATTTTAACATAAAAGAGCTAGATGTCACTAAATATAGGTTAACATCTATCAATACCAAATTAACTATTACCTCTTCTGCCTCTTTCGATTACAGAATTAGTAAGAAGTTAATATGTAGTACTAAATAGATAGATGTTAACAAATTAAATAACACCCAACTATAAAGCAGATAAAATTTAAATAAAAAACTTCAGCTCAAGTATGTGAAATTGAAGAATAATATCTACCATTATATAAAAATATTAAGATCCGTCATTTTTCCAACACAAGAAAATTAACTCCATATTGGAGCCAATACCGACAACGGAAATAATCTTGCCCATTAAATAAGAAAATAGAAAGAAATATTCAAGAGAATAATTCCCCCTATTTAATTAAAAACAGGAACTAGAGTAATTTCCAATACTACAATTTATTCGGAACTAGAAATGAAGCCAGAGTAATGGTTAAAAGATGAAACAGAAGCAAAACTAAAGAATAAAGAGAAAGGAAAAACTTTCTGCTCAATATTTCACTTCTCAGCTTTCTTGCTCGCTCCCCCTTTTCTCATTCACGATTGATGCCTCTTTTATAGCCAAGCCATGACAAACTTTTCAATACACTCTTGGATATGAACTTGTTATGGCTGGTTGTGGCCTTGTTATGCTTGGTTATGAGCTTCTTTGGTTATTGATCGGTTATAGTTTGTTGTAGCCGGTTGTGAGTCGGTTATAGTTTGTTGTAGCCGGTTGTGAGTCGGTTGCCCTTTGTCATGGCATATCACGTCTTTCTTTAGCGCCATATTTTACTCTGCTTTAGCTTGTCCGTTTTTCTAATTTTTTCTCTGTAATCTTCTCGTTCCTGGACCAATACTTCTTTAACCTTTCCTGCATAATTTAGACAAAGTATGGAAGAAATATGATAGTTTTTTTTTGTGTTTTTCAAAGAAACTATATGTTAAAAATCAAGTAGAATGCACTTATCAATGACTCATGAACCACGATCTCACGACACTCTTTTATGATGTACATTCGCACCACCCCGCTTAGGCACGTTTTATCAGCAAAAAAAATATGCCCTTTGACAGCACCGTTGCTCTAGATTCATCCCACATTGCTGTCCGAGTTTCATCAAGATCCCTTGTGAGGGCATCCACATCTGACACACTTGGCAACTGATCAAGTTAGAGAATCTCCCTTGAATGAAACGACACATAGGACTCGTACACTCTTGGTATAACGGTTGGTGGAGCATGCTCCCTCGTCAAATTAGGTTCAGCATTCTTGTCCTCATCATCATCACCCTCATGAGGGAAGGGTGTGACATCCCCAAGATCATCAACATTGTTGTCATAATCACTATTATCTTTCTGACTCTGCGCATCTGCCAGATCCCGATTAAATATGTCATCTTCGGGCAATTGAGTAAGGATAGGATCTTCAAGTTACTCGTTTTCACTGCACAACCAATAAAATAATGAGTTTCTCAAATTCATCCAAACTTTACATATAAACTTTATCACTTTACTTACAAATCATAATATTTTGATATCCCATGATGCACATTATCCTGTTGATGATGACTCCCGGATGGACCACCATGATCCAACACACCAAAACTAGGCATATTCCAACTCGCCGTTGATTCATAACTTGTAAAATTCATATCTAGCCGGTACCCCCCTGGGAATATTTGAGTGTTAATACAATTTCAATACATAAAAATAACATCATAACGCAAAGGAAAATTGAAGTTTACCACCCGGCTTGTGGATTATGTAAACTTGGGGAGAAATTATTTTCTCGCTCCTCATTTGCCCGTGGAGATAAGTTTAGATCAGGCCAAACTCTTTTACCCGGAGCCTGTTCGGCTAAAACTGCTCCAAAATAACCACTAGATGATTGAGGGATATCCCTACTTTGGGGAACCTCATTATTGCGAACGTCTTCAGCCTTGACGCACATTTCCAACATTTTTATCACAAGAAGTTCCCGGTGTTCATCCGGAGTCTTCAAATAATCTATTAGAGTTTCATCGTCTTCGATGTTAAACTCAGCATAACAAGCAACCCCTTGCGGAGTAACAACATACAGATATCTTTTGGTTACTTTAATATTCACCGACTATTTGCTCACACTCATTTTTTTTACATAACACGATATCAATGTATCGTACTCCATTGTAAGTGGCAACTTAACATGACATCGTGGAGAACAACTATAACGTACTGAGTTATTCTCCACCACAACCGTACCCCCCAATATAATGAAACCCTTATTTTTTGCTTTTTGGATATTATGACAAAATGATAACTTAACGAACAAATATTTCGGAATACTTGAAGGATCCTGAATGGATTTTTACAAAATTCTGAAACTCCTTAAATAAGGAAAAAACCAGTCGGCGGGGGGGGGGGGGGGAGGGTACAATTATTTGATGTATAACGTCTTATATATGCGCGCTATACCCTTATGAATTGTTGTTGTGTCAGTTAAGTGCAGATGAATTATTGGTGGGACCAACTTTTATATATAGCGTGGTTATTCACAGAGCTATACCTTAACGGACAAACGTACTGTTAAAGTATAGCGCGGTAAATAACCGCACTATATATAAGATGGTGCCCAATCTTTTTTTTTTTTATCTATTTTGGTCGCTTGAGTCAATTGAAACCATAATTAGGTTTCGGACTCTCACCGGCTAGACCTTGCAGTAACTGCTCCTCGGCGCCGTTGAAACAGTTCAAACCTACCATTCCCTCTTTTACACTTTAATTTAATTTCACCCATATCCTTCATTGAATGGACATGTCCAATTTACATTCCTCTAGCATGTTTGGCGGTGCTTATTTTTGGCTAAAAGTATTTTTTTCCCAGTAATTAAGAAATTTGACCAAACTTTTAAAAGAAAAAAAAATACTTTAGAGTAATAGAAATAATACACACTATATTAGCTTTGGCATTATTACAATATAGTGAATACTATTCTTATACATAGTAAATTATGATATTTAAAATTCATGATTTTTAATACATAGATAAACATATATAAATACAGAACTATCTTTTCAAACAATACATGGATAACAATATGAAAGGTATTTTGGAAATAAATAGCTTTAAAGAATTTATGCATACATATTATTTTTAATACAACAAACCAATACCAAAGGATCCGAAAAGTTAAAGAATGGTTAATGAATATGCACGAAGCACAAAGCTTTTCATTGTGACGCGTGTGGGGTTAAAAAGTATATTTTCAAACTTTTGAAACTTTCTTTAAATTCATGTTTTTGCATTTTAATTCTCAGAAAGTAACAACTTTGTATATTATACTATGATCCATCGGGATATACACTGTCTCAGTAAAGACCAAACAAATTGGAGACAAAAAGTATATAAATTCTCCCATTCCATAAAGTAGAAAGACTATAAAGCTGAATTTACTGCCTTACCTCTCTCTTTTTTGTTAGTTTCCCGCCCGGTGTTCGGTACATACATTGGGACCCGACTAAATTCGGATTCGCGCCGGTAGGTCTTACATTGAGAATAAAACGCTTCCTAACAAAGCCGACTCCATAACTAGGGATTCGAACTCGAGACCTCAATATCCTGCATTCTCTTCTTTTAAAACCCCAATAACAACAAAGACTCAATAAGTAAAGCCAATTATTTTAAAATTGATTTCATATTTAATTTGGCCAAAAAAATTCTTAATCAAGATATTCTATCCCAAATATAATAATAGATAAATTTCGCTTAGCTTATGCAGGTTTCTGCTAAGCTAACCAAAAATTTATGTAGTATTATTTTATTACGAGGTAAATTAAGCTATCTGTTGCGGCGCGTGTGAGGTTAAAAAGTCATGTCAACTTTTGAAACTTTACCTTAAATTGGTGTCATTTACTGATTTGAATTTTCATTGTAAGAAAGCAGTAGCTAGGGGTGTCAATGGATATTTAAAAATCGATTAAATCGCCCGTAATCGTGTCGCAACAAATCGATTTTTAGGTTTTTTAAAATAAAACTATACGTTCTTATATAAATCTATAATCGTACCGATAATTAGGGTACAACAACAACGACCCAGTAAAATTATGTAAGTGGGATCTAAGAAGGATAGTGCGAACCCATACCTTACCACGAGGGAGTACACAGTGTCTCAACAAAGACCAAACAAATTGGAGAAAAAAGTAGTGTAAATAAATTCTCTCAATCCATAAAGCAAAAAGAGTAAAAGCTGAATTTACTCTCTCTGTCCCTCTTGTCTGCTTCTCACATTCTTTATATTTGAGCTTTGTCCTCTTTCTCTGTTTCTCACCTTTTTTCTACAGTATAGTTAAGGAGTAATATCTCTTTGAATTTTCATTTTCATTTTCTCACTGTCCTATATTCTCTTCTTTTTTTACCTTTAAAAACCCATGAACAACAAAAGAAAAACTCATTTCAGGCTCCTTTAAAAAATCCTCCCATTCCCTCTTCATATTTATAAAAAGAGTCAAAGTTGATCAATATCAAATATTCTACTGTTTTCTTTGCTGTAACACCAAAATGGATGTAAGTAACTCGTTATCTCTTCTTTAATTTCCCGTTTGTTTATTTGTTAGATTATTCCAGGAAATGAGATATTGTCACCTTATATCATTTTAAGGACCCGTTTGTCTATTAAAAAAATTTCCTTTTTCCGATTTTTTTCTTCAAAAATATGTTTGTCCATAAAATTTTATAAGTTCTTAGAAATTTTTCGGAAATGAGTTTTTAAAAAGAAAAAAATTATTTTGACCACTTTTTTGAATTTTTTAAAAAAACTTCCTCTTTCACAAAAAAAAAAATCAAGTGAAATGCATGTCCAAACATAATTTCAAATTCAAAAGACTACCATTTTTCAACTTTCTTTCAAAAATTATGTAATTTTTATGTCCAAACTTCTACTAAGGTTGTTTTTAAGGTTGACTTACCCGAAATTCTATTTTCTTCGTATGATATCAGTCGGACTCATCCATATTACTTGTGTTTTTAATGTCGGGCTATGTGTTACGTTATACATAGTCCAATTTTTAACCTAACTTTTCAGCTTTAGTTAGGCCAAATATTCATTTTCTTTTATGGTATTGTTGGAAAGTTAACACTTTGAACAAGAGTTTATCAATGTTGTTGATTTTTTTTTTGGTTCAAAACAGGAGAGTAACTATTACTTGAGGAGGAGCCATGTTCCAGCATTTGGTAGCTGGGATTGTAACAATAATAATGAAATTCCAATTCCTTTTACAGAGTGTTTTGAATCAGCAAGGCAAGCTGGTTTGTTTCACTACAGCTATTCTCAAGACTCTGATTTGTATGTCACTGGTGATCTTTACCAGAATGATATTGTTACACCTACCATGATTGTTGTTCCTCGTCCTAAGGTAATTTATTTTACCTAGCTATACCGTGTAATTTTTTGGCAAAAAAAATATTTATCGACCCCTTGAACAAAGGTGGTTCCACCACTTATGAGCATTAGCTTCTTAGCTTATTTTTATGTTATAGCCAATCAGAGTCGAATCCATGATTTAAACTCTATAGGTTCAATCTCTAAATTTTAGCATTCAACTTGTTATATTTAAAGTTATGTATTGGTATCTATTATTTGTTGCAACTTTAATAAACTTTTACTTATAATTCTATTCCGCGTCAAAAGTACTAGGTTCATATTAATCTGGTATCGTAAGCCTGGGAACGTCCCTGTAGCCAATGGTATAGCCATCTTTGTCCAAGAAACTGATACCCTTTTGTCAGAAATTATAATGTGTAGCTAGATAAGTAGTTACTATATATTGAAATCACTTGGCTATTATATGTTGGGGGATCCACCTCACCACCTACGGGTTCACGTGAACCTAGTACATTTTGTCCAAACAGTGTAAATGTATTCGAAAGATTTATTAAATATGTATAAATGTTTTAATGTGAACTCAGTTACTATTGAAAATTTACCCATGATCGTTACAGGAACCCATAAACATTAAATCCTGGATTTGCCTTTATTTATATGTGGTTACTTCTCTAAATTTTGACAACCCTTTATGTGAAATTCCTGGATACACCACTTGTTATATCCATTGAATTAGTTCAACAACCTTAGGTTACTATTGGATGTGATTTTCTCTGGATATATCCTTTGTTTATAGTATATGAAAAGCAAAAATTAACTGTAAAAGTGTGATTGGCAGAAAAAAGCAAGTTACAAAGAAGCAAGAAAAGAAGCATGGGTGATGTGTGATTTTGAGAAAGAACCACCCAGCCCTGTTCCTATATCTCCTCCAACTGCTATAAGTGTGCCCAAAAAGCCTATTGATGAAGATCTCTACAAGATTTCACCTGAGTTGCTCTATGCAAAGCCTACAAGGGTAGGTCCTTCTATCTTCTCCTGTCTTTTAGGCGGATTTAGGATTTTAATACGAAATAACCTAAGTGTGTTTTGCGTCAAACTCAATAATTTTTATTGTGGCTCCGCCTCTGCTTCTATCCTTATCACAATCATTACTAGCGGCGACCTAGACCTTGGTGCCGCTAGTAGTGATTGCCGATGAGCAAATTGTATCGAAGTTGTTAAAAATGGGTTGAACAAAAATCGGTCACAACTCGATTTGCCTATATTTCTTGCAAAACAAAAATTAGTAGTTGCCTCTACCTTCCACTCTCTCCTACAGTGGCTGATATGAGTTTTAAGATTTTAGTCTTGAATTCATTTTAGTGTTAAAATTATGAGTTCATATGTAATACTTGTTGAAATTTTAGTAGATTTTTACATATATATTCATAAACTTTTTGTGGGCCAAAAACTGAAAGTGATCCCCGTTCTTTTGTGGTGTCAAACCGAGTGATTTTATTTTGCGTCTCATACAACTTACACTAGTTGTGTGAGACCCATATCTTACACATCTGGGTCTACAAAATTTTGAGACCCACACAGTTATGAGACAAAAAAGAAGCCTCACACAACTAGTGTCAGTTCTGTCAAACCATATGATAAATAGTTCTGAAGTGACAGTGCTTAAAGTGGTAATCTTTTTGACAGAGAAAAAGCAAAGAGAAGAGTGATTGTTGAGTTCTAAGGAAAATGCATTACTTTTTGGTTTATTTAATTTTTTATTGCACTACATGTTAAAGTTTAATTAACAAGATAATCTCATTTTTATTGAAAAAGAATTTTTGAAAACTCCTTTTCCTGAGAATACAATATGCAACCTTATTGAAGTAAGTATTTTTCCTTGTGCTAAACTTTTTCCTTTGATTTATTTACATTATTTGCAGAAGGGCGTCCGGGCAATCATCTCGAGCTGTTTGCGCCCTGCTTGTGCTTGTTGAACATGCTGGAATCTAAAGCAAAAGAAGAGAAAATCCAGAAAGTATAAAACTAGTAGTGTTTTTTTTTTCTTTTTCGCTGAAGATAGCCTAGTAGTTTGTCTGTATTTATGGTGATTTTGTCTATATTTATAGTGATGTTTGGAGTATTTTGTTGGGTTTAAACCAGTAAAAAGTGGCCCAAAAAAGAAGATATAATCTTCTCTATATTTCTAAACGTATGTTTCTTCTTGGATGTATTTTGATGTTCTAGTACTATACTAGTCTTGGCTTTTTGTAATTTTAAAAATCATGAGGTAGTGTATGGGAAGTTGGCATTATAAGCATAGATTAATATATGAGAAATCTCTCCCTCGTGTCTTTATTTATGGTGTCCCCTCTGCCTTTTCAGCTTTCCATCTTTATTCTTTTGTAAGATCGTTTTACTCTGGCGTTATATTAGGTACCCAATACCTGCTACACTGATTGGGTACAAATCCTTTTTACCGTTGCTGCTTATAACTTAAATCCATATTAAAAACTTAAAACTTCGATTCAGACATCAATTTCTGAACAAAAAGTGGATTTATGGTCTTATTGGAAACATCTTTATACTTGCCCTGCCTTCCATAGTGTTTGACTCAAAAGTTGTTACACTTTTTAAGCAAATCAATCAATATAGATGAAGGGGTAAATCATAGTCAACCATAATTAATACTGGATCAAAGAACATAATCATAAAGATAGAAGAGTGAATTGAAATGGCACTTGGGAGGTTTTATTAATTATAGAAATTTGGCCTGCCTCTCCTTGAAGAGGTTCAGGAGATTACAATCAAATTATCTCTTCATCCGTAATTGAAGATGGAATCTCTCTCTTTTTGTATAGGCTCAGTCTCTCTTTCATGGAGTTCTTTCATTATCTCCTCTGTTCGTGGATCATGGAGAGCCCAGCCCCCCTGAAGAGGTTCTTCTGCCCTCTATTTATAGTCGAGAACTTCTCGTGCTCATCATATTTTATTTGGGCCGGGTCGGGGAGGTGACCTCCCCTCATGGAGAGGCCTCGACCTCGACGCTTATATCGTAAATAACAGTGATTAGACGAAGTCGAGTTCGTTGACTACTACTGCAGGATGGTTGGGACGGGGTCATTGCCGTCGTGGTCGTGTGGTCAGATTTTGACCAATACAGTTAGTCCCTCCGTTCGTCGGGGTCGTGTCTTACCAACCTCGGCGGACGGATAATGTTTGCGACGTGATCGTGGAGGGAGTCATATTTGCATATTTTTCTTTGGTTGCGTTATAAATTTCGAAACTGCCCGGACGCGTCTTTCTAATACTCTTATACCGTCACGACGGTTTCGAAACCGAAGCGCCGGTTGATAAACGAAACATAGCTTTGTACAAGCAGTCATAATGGCGCATGTTCCCGAGAAGCTGAATCGTTTCGCGCCTGGCCAGGTTCTGGTGGCGACCGTTGGTTTTCGTGCCCTGGAGAATCTGTGTCTTATAAATTGAAGGGGTTTGTCACTCGTTTCTCACATTTCATCGCTCATCTTCGAGAGAATTCCCAGAATATCTCCCTTTCTATTAGTTTGAACTCTTCTTTACTCCTCTGCTCGCACCAATCTTTAGCTTTCTCACTTCTTCCTCAAAGTTCCATCCTCCTCTTTTTGTGAGTTAAAGATGACAGGAACTTCTTCTCATGATAATCTTCCGGCTATCCCTCCGGCGGCTGAGGACCCTGCTCCGGCAGACGGAGACGTAGACCCGATGGAGTGCGAAGATGTTCCTTCAGTAGAGGAAATTTTATCCTGCCCGGGGAGGGCAGTGGTGGATTTCAGCGCCGATGGTGGTGCGGAGCAGGTAAATAGTCCTCCTCTTATAGGGGAGATCGGAATAGCGGATTTAAGGTAACGATGGGGTATTCCTGGTTATGTCGAGATGGTACCGGCAAAGAGAGAAGATAGGGTCCAGATCGATCGTCCCGGGTTCTGCTCGTTCTATGCTTACCCCTTCCTAGTGGGGTACACATTTCCGCTTCCAATGTTGGTGGTCGACTTCTGCCGCTATTATGAGGTGTGTCCTGCCCAACTCTCTCCTTACCTGTACAAGTTGTTCCTCATGTTTATCAAGTACGCGGAGCTAGCCGGTCGGGAGGTCACTCTGAGACACGTGCTCAGCCTGTTCGCTCCTCAAAATATTCGCGGCACTATGATCCACGCGCGTCCCCGAGGGTCGAAAGCTTTAGTGGTCAAGATGGACGACGAGACCAATCATCATTTTTTTTGATAACTTTTTCTATTTACGGACCGAGCACCTCGTAGCGGATCCATCTGGATTTCCAGAAGTGTGGAATTTTGCCCGTAATTCTTCGTCCTTGATTAGTAGAGCACCCACTTTGGCCTCACTTTCTTTATATCTCATGTTGTAAATATTGATATATTTCGATTCGTTGCAGCCGAGAATACCCCCACCTCTTATGGAGGGGATTCAAGAATGGGTTGAAGCCATTCTTCTCCATACAGCGGGAGTTCGCACATGGTCGACGTTTCATGTGAGGTTCGGACGTAGGCCTCTTACAGGTGAGATAGCGCCCTTATTTTCTACCTGTTCCTTTTTGTTTCGATCTTACCTTTCAAGTATTGCTTGCCGTGGCCAGGGAGAGCTCCCAGAGTCAGAGCTCCTCAGTTAGCTTTCCGTCGGACGGTCGCGTCCGCTCGTATCAGTGCAGTACCTGCGCCCCGTCCTTCGTCGAGGGTGGCGTCGGTAGAATCTGTGGCTTTGGCCGCTCCAACCCGGACTATATCTCCGGACAAGAGCCCATCTGGTACCGTCCGTCCTCAGAACGACTCGCCATCGACCGATGAGGAGGAAGGGTCGTCGAAGAGACGGAGGGTAGGGTTTGAGATGGCTCCTCCGACAGTGATCAACTTGGATTCACCCCCAGCAAACCCAGGGGAAGGTGTCGTTGCGGCGTCTGCCGCTGAGGGGGAGCGGGTGGTTGGAGTCACTCCCACCAGTCAGAGCCAGAGAAATTCCGCTTCTGTAGCGACCCGATCAGGAGTTCCCGCCGCTGATGACGCAGGACATCTCGCTGTAGCAGAGAATCGGACCCCTGACGCTGCCGTCGTGACCTCGAGTGTGCCGTTATTGTCCTCGGCAGGTCGTGCCACACCACCGACAGCGGAGAGGGGAAAGAGTGTAATGGTCGATGAATACGAATCCGAGTCTGACTTGGACCCTGATGATGTTCGGATGTTCGAGGAGGGCATTACCCACTTGGTGGTTCATGCGGAGGGGTCGGCCCGTTTCGTCGAGATCCCCGCTGATGTGAACCTGTTGACTCAAGGAGGTAACTTGGTACCACAATTCAGCTTCCTGTGTTCTGAGACCGAGAACGAGTCCCTGAGGAATGTTTCGGATATTGAAGTGATGGACGAGGTGGCTGTGATGGGCTTACGGGTATGTTATATCTGACTTCGATTTATTTCTCCTTTGTTGCAGAAAGAGCATTAGTTTGACTGCTTTCTTGTTTTGCAGACGTACATGTTGGAGGTAGAGAATATTCGCATGGCCAATGTCCGATCGAGGATCTTCTTGCAGATGCTGGAAAAGTATCGTCGCTATCGCGATAGATGCCGTGAGTTGCATGAACGGTTAAGGAATGATCCCCGCAACCGGGCTTTGGGCGAGGAATTGGAGAAGAGGGACCAGGAGCTAGTGCAGGCGCTCCGCAGCAGGAGCGATCTTGAAGAGCAAATCCGCCTCAAGGACGAGGAGCTCGAGGTGGGCAAAGGGGTCGCTGCGGAATGTGAGCACCTGCAGGGCAAGTTACGAGCAATGCAGTTGGAACTGGAGCAGAGCCAGGCCAGAGCGCGGAGGTGGATGCTGAATGGAGAGGGAAGCTGACTGCACTGGAAAGCAAGGTCGCCGATTTGGAGCGCATGGGGAGGGAAGCGTTGGATGCTTCGACGAGGGCAGCGGCCTTAGAGGCGGCAGTTCGTGTACATGAGTCCGAGCAACAGTCGGAGAGGGCTACTACGGCCCTTAGGGAGGAGAGGCTCGAGGAGCGGATTAGTGCAATTGATCAGGAGGCCTTAGCCTTGTCGGATCGAGTTGCAGCCTTGGAGGAGGAGAATCGGCGGCTGAGGGCCCAGGCTGATCATCCCGTGCTGCTGTTCCCCGCCAGGCTCATGAACTCTGGGTCTACGCCGAAGCTCAACGTGACATTTTCAAAAACTTGTGGGAAGCGGGCACCGTGACTGAGGCAGCTTTCGAGGAGGCACGCCATAAGGCTCGTGAGGCTCGAGCCAACTGTGGATATGATGTGGCGATACCCGAAGCTAATGGGGATGCAAGTGGTGATGATGATAACGGCGGTGTTGGCGCCGAGTGAGAGAAAATTGTGTTTCGTTGTTTTTTTTTGTATGTCGATGGGCGTTTGTTTGTTCCTTGTTGTTTTCTTCCCCTCTCTTTTTTTTAGTTGGCTGGCCTGGACCAGATGTAAGCGGCAATAGCCCGCATTTCTGACTTCATGAATAAAGAATTCTTCTTCGCTTCTTGCTTTACATTTCAGTTCTCTATTGATTTACGATCTGGTCGCGGGGTGAGGGCTCGTCAGACGAGTCCCGGTTCCCCTTATGTGATGAAAGTTTCTGGTCGTGGATTTCATTATGAACTTTTCGAGAGGATAGCTCGTCTCAGTTCGAGCGAGGTCGAACCTGTCGCTCCTTGATGGCGAAGACACAACCTGAGTCCTAGTTCGAGCGAGGTCGAGCTGTCAAACTTTGATGGCGAAGGCACTTAGCCTGAGTCCCAATTCGAGCGAGGTCGAACTGTCAAACTTTTGATGGCGAAGGAACTTAGCCTGAGTCCTAGTTCGAGCGAGGTAGAACTATCAAACTTTGATGGCTAAGGCACTTAGCCTGAGTCCCAGTTCGAGCGAGGTCGAACTGTCAAACTTTGATGACGAAGGCACTTAGCCTGAGTCCCAGTTCGAGCGAGGTCGAACTGTCAAACTTTGATGGCGAAGGCACTTAGCCTGAGTCCCAGTTCGAGCGAGGTCGAACTGTCAAACTTTGATGGCGAAGGCACTTAGCCTGAGTCCCAGTTCGAGCGAGGTCGAACTGTCAATCTTTGATGGCGAAGGCACATAGCCTGAGTCCTAGTTCGAGCGAGGTCGAACTGTCAAACTTTGATGGCGAAGGCACTTAGCCTGAGTCCCAGTTCGAGCGAGGTCGAACTGTCAAACTTTGATGGCGAAGGCACTTAGCCTGAGTCCCAGTTCGAGCGAGGTCGAACTGTCAAATTTTGATTGTGAAGGCAGTTAGTATGAGTCCCAGTTCGAGCGAGGTCGAACTGTCAAATTTTGATGGTGAAGGCAC